ATTACTATGACGTGGCATGTTAGTTTTTTCATTATTACCATTGTTTCCCATTGTATTGAAGGGATAAAGGTAGAGCTACCGCCCAATTCTCCCGGGGAAGTCCGAATTGTCCTTACCAACCGCCGCGAAAGCCACAGCCAAACGAGCATCAAAATAAAAGGTATTTATCATGTGTATCTAAGTTAATTACACTAATTATACAACGTAGTCATTTCAAAATTTAATTTTCTTCCCAAATATAATGTCCTATAAATAACAAGAGTTTAACTTTGCAGTATTTGGTGGACTTCGTGGATTGGGTTCAATGCTCTTAAATTTTTTTGGTAACTCACCCTTAACGATGAAATTTGATTTTTACTTTTGAGGGCCTATATATCTCTTAAAAGCACATATTAAATGTATATTTATTATATATTTTTATTATTAATTTATATGTAAAATTTTAAAAATAAATTTTATTTTTAATATTAATATTACATGAAATAATTTAATTTAATGATTGATAAAATTTATGTTAGTTTTTATTTTTTTATGTAAATTAATAATAAAAATATATCATAAATATACCTTTAAAGTATAAGGTAAAATTTTTTTCCTTTTTTTAACCTTTCTACTTTGACTATTATATTCTTATGCCTTTTTATATATTTTAATTGATTCCTGATGTACATAGGATTCAAACAAATTTATGATATGAAGTTGAGACATCTCTATGCCATTGAGATTCTTCAGTGTATGTGTGGCCATGTTTCAACTTTAAAAGTCCAACCTCGTCGTGATTGTGGAGTGATTAAAGCAGTCTTTAAAGCTATCGAGCAGGGCATGGTTGAATTCGTCATTGAGCTATTGAAAGTCAACCAACCAGTCATTTACTATGATAGAGATCGCAGAGACGTTTTCATGGTTGCAGTTCAATATCGTCAAGAAAACATTTTCAATCTCTTTTATGGCATTAATGCGACCTGGCAGGCCAGAATTCTTTACCACAAAGATGAAAGAGGGAACAATATGTTACATGTGGCAGGGGGGATAGCTCCGGACTTTCAACTTGCTCGAATCTCCAACCCAGCATTTCAGATGCAAAGAGAACTACAATGGTTTAAGGTTACCAACTTACCATCTCAATTGTGTTAAGTTTTGAAATTTCAATTGCTCACTCAACATAGCATTTAAAAATTTTTTAATTAATTAAAGAATAGGATAATTATTTTAATTTCTTTCATATGTGAAGTGCGATTTGATACTCTCAAAAGCATATATAT